CACAAGCCTTAGGCCTGGGGCACACAGAAGACAGATGCGCTGTGCCACGTCACGCCCACGCTGTCATTTTAAAAAGAAACCATTATAGTTACTGAGAGTGGCTAGACGGGGAACGCAACGCCTTGTCCCAGAAGCACCGGGCCAAGGAAGATAGGTGCCAGTTCTCTTTCAAGCGCCATGGTGCGGCTGTTTACAAGATAGTGGAGTACTTTATCATAGACATTACAACACAGAATGTCTTTACGCCACAAACCCAACCGCCAAAACACAGATGAGGAGCTTATAAATTCTACTGTATTTATACCTTTAAAGTACTATTGATCTAATAATATTCTAATAAATAGTGTACATTTTTTGTTAATTAGAAAATCTCATAAAACACGACAGCAAGTCTGATCAAGTATAAACAAAAGAGTCACTTTCCGCTTCCTGTTCTCAAGTCCCACAAGATGTGACTGTCACGTGACTTTCCAAGAAGCGCTCAGCAGTGCAGCGATTTCTGAGTGACCCCGAAACCGTGGCCTTTCCGCGGTGCTTCCTTGGGACAGAGCATCTGTCTTCTGTGTGCCCCAGGCTTAACACGGGCACATTCCGTGTGCATGCATACCAGCATAAAAAAGACGAGAGCCACGGTACCAATAAAGGCATTCTATTAGCCGAAAAGTTTTATTATAAACCAAATCAGCTACTAAGTTAGCACTGCTAATAGTTAGTTTCACGGAGATAAACGCCACTGAAATCCTTAACTCAAAACGCCTTTATCTGCCAGCCTCACAGCGACTGTCTGACAATTTATTGGAAATCCCTTTAGGGTAAAGTTTTGGTAAATTGAACCATCGTGTTTGAAGCCATTTATTCAGAGCAGTGTTTTCAACCCTGGTCCTCAGGGCCACTGTCCTGCATGTTGCTGTTTCCAACAGAATTCTTTCTCTGCTGCCAGACACCTAACTTAAATGAAGCAATGAATAACAGCACTCGATGTCATCCTAAGGAGGCTATGCAAATATGTGAACCAGGTGTGCTGTAGCAGAAACATGGAGAACATGCAGGACAGGGGGACACTGAGGACCAGGGTTGAGAAACACAGATTTAGAAGGTCCACCTTCCTTGAACAAACCTTCATTTTAGAGCTTCACCATCTCAAAGAAGAAGGAAGTGACATAATCCTTCTTTGTCCCCTATAGAGCTTCGGACGTCATGTGACTCTCAGAGAGTAGACGCCATGTTGGCAGGCAACAAAGGTAAACAAATTAACGGGATCAGCTTGGATTTTACTTCGTCAGAGTTTACTTCACACTTTAAAACCGAAGAAATCGTTTTATATAGTCAGAAATTAAATAGACTAAACATCTCCGACCCTTACCGTGACCCTGGGATACTTTTTAAAAACGCCAGAAGCTGTCGGAGCGGACTTCTTACCGGACCTGGCCGGGGAACCCCTTGGGATTTACCCGGAGGAGCTGGCTCAAGTGGCTGGGGAGAGGGAAGTCAGGGCCTCTCGACGCTACTGCCCCCGCAACCCGACTCCGGATAAGCGGATGAAAATGGATGGATGGATGGATGGATGGATGGATGGATGGATGGATGGATGGATGGATGGATGGATGGACAAATAACAGATTTACACGTAAGTAGTTTAAATAGAGTGATGTGTTGTTTGAATATATAAACTGAACGCCAAGAGAAATCACTAGTTTGAATGTTTTCCGTGAATAAAATAAATATGTCAGGCAGGAACGTCTCAGGATCTGTCTGAGATCTGTCTCGGTGAGACAGATAATAGCAATCCAAAGTGCTTTTTATGTGTGATCTGACAATTGATCAACCACTGCTTAAAAATTAAATGCAGCTTAGCCGGTTAATTGCTGTGATCATAAAACACGTAAACGGCAGCACGCAGAACTCACGAGGCAACGTTTTACGTGATGTTTACTTGCTGCTATGAGTAATAAGACAGAAAAAGCCACGCCAAAATAAGTGTAGGAAGCCCACTAAGAATCGTAAAAAAAGCATTTAAAATAAATACCATATACAGTTGAGGAGACGTTGGTTTAAATACCTGACATGAAGCGGTCGCTGCAAAAGCGAAAACCTTTACTCTCAGGATCCCACAGTTTCATTTTCGCCCGGTCACTAGCGCGTTTTATTGCAATGATCCAACGTTTGCAGCGCTCCGGATCTTGGGGAATCCTGTAGATGGCTCATTCCTTATGTCGTCCGTGTCTGTTCTGGCATCCTAAGGCACAACAGGAATCTACCATATTTCCCGTTTGATTGCGTTTTCTGACAGTAACAAATAGTCCAGCTGCGGGCTTCTGCCTGCCAAGATGGCGCCGTTTCGATTTGAACTGTTGCATGCCGGGAGAAGTGACGTCAACTCCCGGAGCTCTATACTGCCATCTCTGGCGTGTTTTGATCTGGCTGTTTTCCCATGTGACTCAATTTCTTCTCAAATTAAGGGTTTTGTATCATTTGTTTTCTCAGGATCGCTGCAGACCGAGATAACCTCTTGTTGGATATTCTAACAGAAATGAAGCAAGGGAGAGGTTGTTATGACGGCGTCTCCAGGTGACAAAGCTAGAGGGGTGTAAACAGGATATTTGTTATTATGGTATGAAAAATACACCGTACAGATAAAGCCGGCTGGACACTTACATGTCTGGTGACCACTGACATTGAGGCTTTCTTATGCTACAGTCCTCTACAATGGGCATGTTGTGAAGTTAAACTAAAAAATACGTAAAAAAAAAAAAAAGGGAAGGTGTTAATTATGGCCTAAAAAGACAGGAAATCAAATGAAAAAAGAAAATGTAAGACACTTATTTGTCGAGGTCTCAGGAAGATATAGATAATGCAACTTCTGTTAGAACCTGTGTATGTGGGTGTGTATGTGTGTGTGTACGTGTGCGTGTTTGTATGTATATGTTTGTGTGTGTGTGTGTATGTGTGTGTGTACATGCGCGTGTTTGTATGTATGTGTTTGTGTGTGTGTGTGTACATGTGCGTGTTTGTATGTATGTGTTTGTGTGTGTGTGTGTGTGTATACGTGTGCGTGTTTGTATGTATGTGTGTGTGTACATGTGCGTGTTTGTATGTATGTGTTTGTGTGTGTGTGTGTGTGTGTGTGTGTGTGTGTGTGTACATGTGCGTGTTTGTATGTATGTGTTTGTGTGTGTGTGTACATGTGCGTGTTTGTATGTATGTGTTTGTGTGTGTGTGTGTGTGTGTGTGTGTGTGTGTGTGTGTGTGTGTGTGTGTGTGTGTGTACGTGTGCGTGTTTGTATGTATGTGTTTGTGTGTGTGTGTGTGCACGTGTGCGTGTTTGTTTGTATGTGTGTGTGTGTGTGTGTGTGTGTGTTTGTTTGGTTGTGCATGTGAGTGTTGGTTTGTTTGTGTGTTTATTTATATTTCTGTGTGTGTGTGTGTGTGTGTGTGTGTGTGTGCGTGCGTGTGGATATGTGTATGTATTTGTTCGTGTGTGTGCATGTAGGTGTGTTTACATTCCTTTCTGTGTGAGTGTTTGTGTTTAAGTGTGTATGTGTATGTGTTTGTTTATTTGTGTGTGTGCGCACAGGCACATGTGTGTGAATGCATGTGAAACATGAACCCCGGTTTTAGATTCAGTTAAACACAAATACCATCTGGCTCTGAAACACAGTTTTAACAGAGAACTGTGTGTGTGTGTGTGTGTGTGTGTGTGTGTGTGTGTGTGTGTGTGTGTGTGTGTGTGTGTGTGTGTGTGTGTGTGTGTGTGTGTGTGTGTGTGTGTAATCTGGCTTTATGCTCTGTTGTCATACAAAATCTGCAGCAAGTGCAAACAAAGCTCTGCTTGCATGTGTGCATGTGTGTGTGCATTAGAGAGAGAGACTGAACTCATCCCATGAAATCTGTCGACTTCCACGTGTTATTTACTGTACACGTAACTCTAACATGCTGAAGTTTAAGGTCATTGTATCTCTAAACAACGTTATCCTGAGCTGATGGAGAATAATGGAAAACAAACCTGATTAGACATAATTTTTAATAGAGAATGTACATTTACAAAACAGTGTGACACTGTGTATATATATATATATATATATATATATATATATATATATATATATATATATATATATATATATATATATATATATATATATATAATTTTTCCATCTTTGGGTCTTAAATAAGTTGTTTTTGTTTATTGAAACAAATTATGTGGTAAAAGATAAACTTTTCTGTCTTAGAGATAACAACTGGTCCCCTGCTCTGAGCGAACTTCATGCCTCACACGGGCTTAACAACATAACCTCTGCACGTTGCACCAGTTTTTCTGTTTTTGCCATTTATTTTATCATTAAAACCTCCTGAAGATGTTTTTATTATTACCAACCTGGTGGCATGAGTGGGGCCTCATAACACAAAAATAAAACAGCTGGCATCAAGTCAAACGTCTCAGGTTTAACCGTTATGTTAAATTACAACAGTAAAATAATACTTGGATCAGGCTTTCTTTGAAGTAATACGTTTACCACGAGGGAGAACGCGTATTTATCTATTTTAAATAGATAGTTTGTTAAACTCCGTCAGTAGCCGTCTCTCACCAACAAGGGGCGTCATGGTCCTAGTAAACATCCTTCCGTCAGCTGCGCGCGCTCCCCGCTGGCTCAATGCTTTTCATTAATAAACACAGAGAGCGCGCTCCCGCTCCTCACCGTAAAGCACAAACACGCTCTTGGCGGGCGCGCGCCGTGTTTGCCGACATGAATTCAAACTGGTATTGTGGTTGAGAAAACAAAGTCGGAGAGGTCGCTTTCCTCGGTCTGCAGGGCGTGCTTTCACGCACGGTCCCATGCACGCGTACACACACACACACACACACACACACACACACACACACACACACACACACACACACACACACACACACACACACACACACACACACTACAGCGCACTTTTACGCACGCGGAGCGCTCAGTGTGACGCACCGCGCGGCTACACCTGCGCGTAAATTCCGAAAGACTAATGAGAGCAGATGAAAAGATCGGAGGCTGCATCTGCTGGAGACCAGGAGACCCGGTTCGGAGCAGGACAGGGAGGCAGGAGCAGAGAGGAGGATTTGTTGACAAAAGCAGCAAGTTGGAGAAGCTCCTCCTCCTCGTGATGTCGGAAACTCCTTAATTACTAATTTCTCCACATCGGAGCCACGCTCTTTCCCTCCCCCTCTTTCTCTCTCTCTCTACTCCTCCATCCATCATCTCTCATCCTGACCCTCCTTTCTCTCCTCTCCGTCTCTCTATCGTTTCCAGCCTGGATAACGGAGGCGGACGAGCTTGGAGGAGCGGTTCATTTTATTCTATTATTATTTATTCCTCTTTTTTTTATTTTTCTTTTGGGAGACTCGCCATCGGGCATGGAAGATATAAAAGCCCCACCGACCGTCCACCGGTCCTCCTCCTTCAGCATTAAAAGCCTCCTGCTGCCCTCAAAGTGCGACCGGACGGACCCGGTGGCTGCGCCCGCCGCCGCTATTATCGGGATACCCGGGACTCTGTCTCCATCACCGGGTTCCGACTCGGACAGGTCGCTTGGGGCACCGGATGTGGACTATACTGCTGCGGTTATGGACCCAGGGAAACCAGGCAAGGAGGAGCAGGGGAATGAGGAGGAGGAGGAGGACGGAGGGGGAGGCGGAGGTGGGAAGGACGCCAAAGCATCACCGGAGCAGAACGCTAACGGTAATAACGGCAAAAACGGGAAATTCGACAAGCCTCCGTTCAGCTACAACGCTCTGATCATGATGGCGATCCGGCAGAGTCCGGAGAAGCGGCTCACGTTGAACGGAATCTACGAGTTCATCATGAAGAACTTCCCGTACTACCGGGAGCACAAGCAGGGCTGGCAGAACTCCATCCGGCACAACCTCAGCCTCAATAAGTGCTTCGTGAAGGTGCCGCGGCACTACGACGACCCGGGCAAAGGGAACTACTGGATGCTGGACCCGAGCAGCGACGATGTGTTCATTGGAGGGACTACCGGGAAGCTCCGCAGACGCTCCGCCACCTCCCGCGGGAAGCTGGCGATGAAGCGCGGGCTGCGCTTCGCTCCTCTCGGCTTGGGGATTAACGAGCGGGCAAACAACCCGCTTTACTGGCAGATCTCTCCGTTTCTCTCCCTACACCATCACCATCATCATCACCCACACTACAACGGATCCTCGCCCGGGTTTTTGAACCAGGCCGCCGGGTACGGGTCGCTGCTGCCCGCTGTGGAGCAGCTGAGTAACGGGGACCTCGGGCGCTCCATCCTCGGCGGGTCTGCAGCTGGGGCGCTGGGCTTAACGAACAGTTACGGAATGAACACGTCTCCTGTCGGTCTGCTGTCCGGTCAGACTGGGGGGTATTTTGTCTCAGGAACCCAACACGCTGCTGCAGCAACGGGGCCGCCCGGTGGAGGCCCCCCGCCACCACCTCCTCCCCCGCCGCATCTCCAGCAGGGCGCTACGGGCTACAGCGGGCTGGCGGCCAGCAGCTCCCCGCAGGCTCTGCTGTCGGACTCCCTCAGAAACAACTCCCTACCGGCCTTCTCTCCGGGGTTGCCCGCGGGATTTCCCGGGGTGCTGTCCCATCAAAAGAGGGTGACCTCCAACGCCTTCCTAAACTGACCCCCTCACCCACAACTGTCAGTGAATGCCGGGCACGAACAAGGACGTGATTGGAGGGCAGATAAGGAGTGGTAAATATCAAACCCAGATCTAAGTAAGAGAACTTTATGGCCATATTCCGCCCCGCAGCGCAGCGGGACTCTTCTGATTATTTTTACGCATTTTGCTGAAAAAGGGAGAAACTTTTGTTACCCGCGGGTTGTACAACTGTAACTAGACTTGCCAAAGGTAACTAAGTATATTTCAAGCTATTTATATCCTGTACAAAGATTTTGAGTATTTTCGTTGTCTTATTTATGTTTTGTATTTATTGTACAATGTATTTAAATTCTATTTCTCGCTGTAAACGCGTCAGTATTAAGAGAAAAGAGGGTTCATTATTTATGGGTTAAGAGACAATCAGGGGATAAATACCAGACAATCAATGCTCAACGTTTATGTAAGAGAAAACTTTGAATACATTTTTATTATGAATAAACGAATAAAGCCTTAAAATTAGAGAAACAATCAGGGTTTTAGAGGAAGAATAAGCCTAAATCATATCTGCTCAGGTTTGACCCGGAAAGGCCTAAAACAGGTGAAGCAATCAGGATTCCGCTGCCCTCTGTGAAGAGTTTCCTTCCGAAAATCAGAAATCTTTTTGGAACAAAACTCTTCATAATTTATGCAACTGGGAGTTTTTAAAACCCAACTCTTAATTTCTGTATAGTGTGTGTGTGTGTGTGTGTGTGTGTGTGTGTGTGTGTGTGTGTGTGTGTGTGTGTGTGTGTGTGTGTGTGTGTGTGTGTGTGTGGAGGCCTGGATGAGCGTAAACCCCTCTGCGCATGTGCGTAAAGACCACCCCGCACTCAACCCCCCACCCTACCGGTCTGATCCCGCTCTCTAAACCGCTGACCTGATTCCATTTCCCGGTGAACGCGCTGCTGAGACCCGCGGAGACCTCCGGTTGTTCTAGGAATAAAGAAAACAAAAACAAAAAAAAAAATAAATAAAAAGCTTCAGGAGGCGAATCCGAGCCGCTCCTGCTGCTCGCGCGCACGTTCAGACGCACAGCATTAGAAATGCGCATGTGAGCAGAACAATACCATCTCTTCTCCGCAGTTTAGCAGGTTTTCACCAACAACTGTACGTTTTAGCGCAGTTTGACTCATTTTGCAGGTTGTTTTGCGCATCATGAACTGAAAATCCCGCAGGATCTTTGAAACTTGCACGACAATCACCACACCTGGCCTCCTCAGCCTGCAGCAAACTGTTTATGCAATTTATTATGTTGTGTTTGTATCTTCTAAAAGTGAAACAATAAATCCATAAAAAGGTTAATCAGCAGATGTCTGACCAGTCAAGCCAGACACATTTTAAAGTCAAGTCTGTCAAATGCTCAGATTTAATTCATTTAAAATTAAAATTGCGAGTCAAAAAATAGAAATATTTAAAAAAGTATATACAAGCAAAACCTCTACAAATATGAAGGAAATGAACAAACGACACCCCAAAACTTTATTAATTCTGAAAATCTGATTAAAATCAAATAATTTCTACAATTTAAATAAATAATTTTAATTTTCTTCAATTTGGCAAAATTATAAAAACAAGTCAAGTTATCCTGTCCAGAGAATTTTTTTCTTTTACATCAAATAAAATGAAAATGTTCACGTGAATAAGAAAATTATTTATAATAAATAGTTGTTAAAATCAATTCCTTCAAAAATAAAAATCATATAGAAATGTGCAGAAACTCCTTGTTTTGATGCTAAATGTTTCCATAATACCAATAACCCTGAAACGTTCCGCTGCGGCAGATCAACGCACAGATCGGCTGGCCTGTTAGGTCGAGATGCAAACAAAACCTTTCACAATGAAATCAGATGTGAAGTTAAAAAAGTCTAATGTCGGTTTTGAAAACTGCAGCTTTTTATGGGAAAATTTATTCAGTTGACTAAAAGTTGGCGCTGCTGAACACAAACTTCCCTCCAATATGTTTGTTTATTTATTTGTTTATTTATTTATCATTTGAACACCTGCAGCTCTTTGTTGTCCAACAAAAGAATAATGCCTGTAAAAAAACTAAATGAAGCACGTGTGATGGGACGCTCACACACACACACACACACACACACACACACACACACACACACACACACACACACACACACACACACACACACACACACACACACACACACACACACACACACACACACACACACACACACACACACACACACTTATTTCTATCTCTGTGTAAGTTTTATGTTTAGTTTATTTTTGGTTTGGGGGGCTTTGTTAACGTGTGTGACGGATTTGTTTGTTTTTCATTTTTTGCACTTTTGTAGTTAGTCCTGACTCGTATGAAGTCTGTACCGTCTGTTTCGTTGCTGTCTGGTTTATTATTTTATTTCAGAGAAACTAAAATTGATTAAAAAGACTGAATTAACCTGAAGCAGCTTCTGCCTGATGATGTGCAGCAAGAACCATAAAATAAATCAAAACAGTTTATTCTATGTAGTTTATTTTAATAATGACCTTCCGCATACATATATATATATATATATATATATATATATATATATATATATATATATATATATATAGATAGATAGATAGATAGATAGATAGATAGATAGATAGATAGATAGATAGATAGATAGATGGATATTCATAATAATGTTAATTCGATTTTTTTCACTCAGGATTCGGATGAATTTATTTACATTAACAGAATAAGGCAACATTCGTGTGTATTTTTAAATCCTAAATAATTATTATAGGTTCCGTTTCCTTTGGGACGGTTTAGCTTGACTGTAATCTGCATGTGTTTCATTATAAATCATTTATGAAATGAAGATATCAGGATTTATTAAACAATTTACATTTGTTGTTATTGCCACGTATCATGTGCTACATTTTAAGTTTAAATGAAGCAAAGATGTAGTTGAGTGTTTTTAAGTCAAACTCCTCCAGGCCTCACCTTGTCTTCTCTTGTTTGTGAGAATTTAGTCTTAATTCAGCAGATTATAAATATGTGTTGAATTTAAAACTGTGAATCCAAAGGCTTCAGCCCTTGATGAGACGTAGCCTCCCTCCTCCAGCAGCAGCTGGTGTGTTTCAGCTTTAGTGACCTAGAAACAATAACACACATCACAAAAGGCTGCTCAGATCTGAGGCTTTAAAGATGTTTATCTTTTCTTTTTTAAGCATAAAATAGTTTTATTTTAACAATGTTAAATAATTGAATGTCAAAACAAAGAGATGGAGCTGAAAATATTTCACAGAGGCACAACTGAGCGGAGAGGAGCGTGGAGGTTAGACTCAGGTTTCTGTTCTGAGATCAGCTTCAGACGCTTCAGCACTGTCCCCCTTTATTTTCTTGTCTTCATTAGAGGTCATAAACGATTGGTCCTAATGTCTGTTTTCACTTTCAGATAAACAAAATTCAGTTTATTGTTTATATTGTTTCAGAATCTGAAGATTAGCTTGTTAAAGACTAAATGTTGATTTAATTCAACACGCCAACACGAGGCAGCTAGATCATGTAGAGCTAACTGTAACATTTGGTAAAAATTGTATTAATTCATTTATTTCTGAATCTTTATTTAGAGCACGCTCCTAGCGGCCGTCAGTGGTACTGTAGGAGCCCAGATTCAAGACTATTGATGAAAAAACACCAGTGTTGGCATTTTATATATGAACTACCTCAAAGTTTAGTTCATTATAAAATGAGCTAGTTCAGCTCATAGTTCATAATTCAATTTCCCTAATTAAGTTGACAGTTTTTTTATGTGATACGGCGAGCTGTTACCCTTAACATAACAGCATTGTTCAGTTGTCCTCACTGGTACCCAGCTGCAGCTTTCACCCCTACAGTACATTCTCAGTAAAATGAGAACAACTTGCTTTTTTAAAGAAGAGGAGTTATTAAACAACATCAGGTAGGAAACGAGGTTGTACCTCAAAATGTAAAACATTAAAACATAAATTACATTTAATGAATTCAGGTAATACATTTTGTGAATGACTTTTCTGACTTTGTTGATATAAAAAAAATCCAAGTTATTTAACTTGGATCATAGAGAGCAACACTCAGCCCCAAATTAATTAGCAAAATAAACAAATAAATAAATAACTAAATAAACAAACAAATAAACAAATAAATAAATAAATACGCAGTGCCAGTGTGACTCTGTGATTAGTGGTTCGTGGTTTGATGTGTATTATTGGTTCATTCCGTTTGATCTCTGAAATTCCTGTTTCTTAGTAGGAAAACTCAACTGGAACAGCCCCCGCTGTCAGAGAATGTTTTTAAGAGAAGGCTGCTGTTGTGTCCTTGAGCAAGACAAGTGCTCAGCAGTCTCGCCTCTGTCAGTGTTTCCCAGGGCAGCTGTGGCTACATCTCACTCCCACCAGGGTGTGAATGTGTGTGTGAATGGATGAATGATACGCTGTAGTGTAAAGCGCTTTGGACTCCTCTGGAAGGCACTATAAAAGTGCTGCTCATTTACCATTTAACTGATAACCCGTCTACAGGTGGTCTTCTGACCAAGTCCTCCAAACACACCCACATCACCCCGCTTCTCCTCCAGCTTCACTGGCTGCCAATCAACTTCAGGGTTCATTTCAAGATCCTGGTTCAGGTCTATAGGGCCTTACATGGACAAGCACCATCATCTCAGTTCCTACACCCCCAGCAGGTCCCTAAGTTCCAGTGACCAAAGCCTACTGGTTGTGCAGCACCAGGCTAAAGACCAAAGGTGACAGATCATCTGCTGCTGTGGCCCCCAGACTCTGGAACTCTCTCCCCCTGAGCCTGAGATCAGTGGACTCAGTGGTCTCCTTTAAAAAGCAGCTGAAGACTCACATTTTCAGGCTTTGGTGTGACCTTCATCACCACCCTCTTCTTATTCTGCCTTTCCCAGGGTCCACTGATTTCCCTCTTTCCTATTCATTTTCTCTCTCCCTTTCATTATTTTTTAAATCACAATTTGCATTTTTTTCTCCTTTTAATCATTAAAAAAATAATTTTTGTACTTTAATTTTTTTGTTTTGTTTTTGTGAAATGCTTTGTGATCTTAATCTTGAGAGGTGCTATATAAAAGATAATTTTCTTTCTCTTAAATCCAAATCCTGGCTTCAGTAACAGCTCCGGGTAACAACAGCAGCTGTGGTAGAAATGTGTTTATTTTACAAGACAAACTTGTAAGGATGCATCTAAAGTCAGTGTGGCATGCAGCTGATTTTATCTTACGAGGTAAATGGAACACACCCATTGTTAACAGCATAGACATTGAGTGGATGCCGCACCAACTGCTACCCCGGTATTTGTGGGGTCTGCTCTTTATAATTGGAAACATTATTTCTGATTGGCTTAATGAACTGTGAATTGGAATGCTTATTATGTGAAGTGCCTTGAGACGACTCTTGTCGTGATTTGGTGCTATATAAATAAACTTGAATTGAATTGAATGATGTCTATGGTTAACAGGATGTTTTAGCTAAGGCTTTAGCTCCACAGAGACCTGGACCTCTTGCATTTCGAGAATGCCGTTCATAAACCTTTCACAAATGCCAGACTGAGTGCTCTCCATTCCACATGAATCAGGCAAAATACAAGTTCAGTTCACGGTCCCAAAAATTTTGGATGAGTTCACAAACGATTTTTCACTTAACTTGTTCAGGCACAACACTAAAGACGTGACGTGATGAAGATTGTTATTTATTGTTCATTTTATATGAAACATGTAATTTTGTTTCACTTAAAGCTGCAATAGCAAATTTGGAAAACAAATTACGCAGCTTAAAATATTGTTTCACGTATCTTAACAAAGTTCTAACATCATAGAGCTATAAATATATTGGGAGGTAATTTTTATTTATTTATTTATGAAGTAGTTCTCACGCATTTCTCTAAATTCCCACACCAAAACGTTTGCAAAACAACTACTGGATCATCCAGCAGTCGGTCGCACCCAATCACAGCACTTCCCTGAGTCCTCCATTCATAACACACTCATGCGTTTACATGTACCGGGGCAGCAGTAGCTCAGGAGGCAGAGCACGTCGCCTCATGATCATGTTCAATTCCAGCTCCCACCAGGAGTATTCTGCTGTTGTGTCCTTGGGCAAGACACATCACCCAACTTGCCTGTGTTGGTGGTGGTCAGAGGGGTCGATTGCGCCAAATGGCAGCCTCGCCTCTGTCAGACCGCCCCAGGGCAGCTGTGGCTACAAAGTAGCTTACCATCACTAGCAGTGTGTGAATGTGACAGCGCATGAAAGAGTCTCTGAGTGTCCCAAAAAAGCGCTATACAAGTTTGGTGTATTACTATTATTATTATTATTTAGCAACAGAACACCACTAGTGTGAGAGGTTATCAGCTCAATAGCATCAAAGAAGGAAAAAGAGCAGACTGCTGCCATTTCAACTTCAGGACAAACTACCTGAGTTCCAAAAAGAAAAACACCATTTGAAGTCACGGACAACAAAAAGTGTTTGGACCTAGAAAATGGGGACTGATGTTTAGCATTGCCTTGTTTCCTCTGACAATGTGGATTTTTGGTTCTGGCAGAAGCATCTTAGGAAAGATACCCGATGGGAGGGGTGAGTGTTCTGTGACTGTTTATGATAAACACCTAGCTTGTTCTGTAGATTTACTATAACAGCTTTAATCCAGGCTGAAAATACAAAATAGACTCAAAACATTTTTGGTGCAACTTTGAAATATTATTTATGAACCTGTCAGGTATTTTTTACCACTTGCACACACTAAAACCTGCAGGGTTAAAAACCTAACTAATTTGGTAACACCCCCCCCCCCCCCCCCCCGTGTCAGTTTTGGAGCAATATGGGTTGTTTTAAGGCAGCAGGGTCGGATTGTTGATTTGACTGGGCTTGCTGGCTCAGGACTCACTAACTAACCCACGAATAAAGGTAAGGCTACTGTAAACTGGGCTGAAAAGAATAACCCAAAATGTGGGTCATTCAAAGTATTTGGGTTAAATTCTCATTTCAAAAAGATAATATATTTGGTAAAATATTTCAATAGTTGACAATGCAGGACACAACATTAATACACAAACAAAAATTAAATAAATGTCACCCAGCAGGTAGTCAGAAGTTAAAAAAATATCTGCTGTTTTTAGGGTGAGCATCATACTGGGGTGTCTGACTTTAGGCTCTAGGTATTAGGATGATCAGTATTCCTAAAAACATGATGGGCCAAATCATCCAGAAGTTTAAAAACAAACACAAACTAACAATCAGCCAAGTGCTGGACAGGACGCAGGTGGAGGGAAGCTCCAGGTGTTAGAAGGTCCTGTGGTAACACCTGTAGAGGATGAAGGGAGGATCTGAACCTTCATGCATGATTTAAGTGAACATCTTGTCTGGTTACTTCTTGTTGTTTCCTCCTTAATCCAAAAGGCTGATGGCAGGAGTTCCAGGCT